ACCCAAAACGTCAGCTTTCCTGCTCCTCTGATGCTGCTTGGCCTGCTGTGTTCATCCAGCTCTACACCTTGTTATCTCAATTACAGCAAATAGAGTAGACTAGATTGTGGGAAGTGCAGGTAAAGTGCTGCTTCACCTGGAAGGTATGTTTGGGCCCTTGGACACTGGGGATGGAGGAGGTAAATGGGCAGATGTTACACCTTCGGTTACAGGGAAAGGTGCCGTGGGGCTGTGACGGGTGAAGAAAGAGTTGACCAGGGTGTCCCGGACGGACCGGCCGAACAGGCCGAACAGCCTACTTCCGCCCCTCGTTGCTATGGTTACCGGGTCTTCCCATCCCCCCTCTTGCTGGAGATGGCGCCTGCACTGACTCCCCGGAACTGACCAATCAGGGCTGTGGAGGCGGGGTGGTGGCGACGTCATCGGGTGGCGGGCTGAGCGCGGGCCCGTGTCCGGGAGCGAGCGGCGGCGGGGGGACTGCGAGAGGCCGCGGTGAGTACGGCAGGCCCGGAGCCCAGGGCCTAGGCCACGCTGCTGCAGCTTCCTCTCCACCCTTCCTGTGTGTGTGAGCGGCAGCCGCTGATGAGCCCAGCTCTTTATTACCAGACCCCGACTCTCCGCCGGCCTCCTGCCTCATGGAGGCTCTTTGCCCGCCGGCAGCAACGTGTGAACTGGTCACTGCCCAGAGGCAGGCCTTTAGCCCCATCCTGCAGTTGCTAGCTCTTTGCAGCCTATCCACCCTGCCCCCCTTCGCTTCTTGCCCCGTTCCCCTCCGCACCTTCCCCCTCCCCCCTTCCCCAGTTCATTGTTAACACCAGGCTCGCCCCAGCCCCAATCTCCTGGCTGCCCTCCCACATTCTAACTTCAGCTCCTCTAAAACTCTGCTCTCACACCAAGTCCCATTCACCGGGCAATCCCTGTGGCTTGCTGTCTCCAGGTCAAACAACGTCTCAATTGTACAATTCTCACCCTTGTTTTCAAATTCCTCTGAGGCCTTGCCCCTCCCTAACCCTGTAATCTCAACAGTTTTGCAGCCTTTTCAGATATCGGTTCTCCTCTAATTCCAGCTTCTTCAACATCTCTGATTTTATTCGTTGAACTATTGTTGACTGTGCCTTCATCTGCCTGGGCCCTAAGCCATGAAACCTTTCCATAAAGCTGTCCATTTCTCTGCCGATGCTGTTACTAATTTTTTTTTGTTATGTGGGGTCAATTGCTTTGCATTCTATATTCTAAATTTGTGTTCTTTATATTTGTTCATTCAATGTGGGTGTCATTGGCTAGGCTGGTATTTGCTGCTCATCACTAATAGCCCTGGAGACTGTGATGATGAAATGTTTAATTCCTGGGGATATCAGGATATCAATATTGCTGTTAGGAAGATAGTTCCAAAATTTTAATCCAGTGACAGATCTTTTTTTCTTCGTTATTCATTCATGGGATGAGGGCATCGCTGGTTAGGCAGCATTTATTGCCCATCCCTAATTGCCCAGAGGGTGGTTATGAGGCAACCTCATTGCTGTTGGTCTGGAGTCACATGTAGGCCAGATCAGGTAAGGATGGCAGTTTCCTTCCTAAAGGACATTAGTGAACCAGGGGAGTTTTTCCAACAATTGACAATGGGTTCATGGTCATCATTAGACTCTTAGTTCCAGATATTTATTGAATTCAAATTCCACCATCTGCCGTGGCAGGATTTGAACCCAGGTCCCCAGAACATTATCTGGGTCTCTGGATTAACAGTGTGGCAATAATAGGCCATCACCTCCCCACAGAAGTTGTCATGGTACACAAGGAGGTCATTTGGCCCATTGTGTATAAACCAGCTCACCAAATAAGAAAATAAGGAATAGGAGCAGGAGTAGGCCATCTGCCCATTCGAGCTTGCTCTACCGTTCAATGAGATGGATGATCTTTTCGTGGACTCGGCTCTGCTTATCCGCCTGCTCACCATAACCCTTAATTCCTTTATTGTTCAAAATTTATCTTTGTCTTAAAAACATTCAACAAGATACCCTTAGCAAGTTAACTGGGCAGGGAATTCCACAGATTCACAACCGTTTCTCTTCAGCCAATCCTAAATCTGCTGTCCCTTATTTTGAGGCTATGCCCCCTAGTTCTAGTTTCACCCACCAGTGGAAACAAACTCCCTGCTTCTATCGTATCTATTCCCTTCATAATTTTATATGTTTCTATAAGAATCCAACCCCCCACACCATTCTTATAAATTCCCATGAGTACAGACCCAGTCTACTCAATTTCTCTTCATAAGCCAACCCTCTGACCTCTGGAATCAACCTAGTGAACCTCCTCTGTACCCCCTACAGTGTGACCATCATGAGGGGGAGGTGATGGCCTAGTGGTATTATCACTGGACTGTTAATCCAGAGACCCAGATAATGTTCTGGGGACCCGGGTTCAAGCCCCGCCATGGCAGATGGTGGAATTAGAATTCAATAAATATCTGGAACTAAGAGTCTAATGATGACCATGAACCCATTGTCAATTGTTGGAAAAACTCCCCTGGTTCACTCATGTCCTTTCGGGAAGGAAATTGCCATCCTTACCTGGTCTGGCCTACATGTGACTCCAGATCCACAGCTATGTGGTTGACTCTGAACTGCCCTCTGGGCATTTAGGGATGGGCAATAAATGCTGCCTGGCCAGATACACCCTCATCCCGTGAATGAATTTAAAAAAAAAACTTCGTACCCTTCTCGTGTTTTATTTCTCATAACTCATTGTTTCTATTCAAATAACCATCTCATGTTGCCTTGAATGGTTCAATTAAACCTACCTCACCTCTTACAGGTAGTACATTCAAGACCCAAACCAGGTGTGTGAAAAAGATTTTTCTTTCATCACATTTACTTACTTTGTGGTGGAGGTTAGATAGACCTTAGGTTTTGGATAAAAGTTCGGCACAACATCGTGGGCCAAAGGGCCTGTACTGTGCTGTACTGTTCTGTGTTCTATCTCTTTATGTCTATATACAGTTGTCGTTCTTAATCCTTTTATGAATAGAATTGGTTTACCCCTATCTACTCTAGCTCCCTTATGATTTTGAAAGTTTCTCTCAGATTTCCTCTTGACCTGTTTATGTCTCAGGAGAATAGACTCCCTCCAACCACTGTCATAATTGGCTCTTCTAACTAGACTTTTATTGTTCATGAGGCCCCTTTAAATACATCTCTTCTGCACTCTCTCCAATGCATTCACATCATTTCTTTAGCGAGGTGCCCAGAACAGTGTACAATATTCCAGCTGAGATCTGACCAGTATCATTTTTAAGTTCAGCATCATCTGCCTACTGTTGTACTTTATGCACCTGTTAATAAAGCCCAGGGTACAATGTGCTTTAACAGCTCTCTCCAACTGTGTCATTTGTAATGCCGTATACACATATGCACCTAAGTCCCTCTGCTCCTGGACTCCATTAAAAATTGTAACACTTATTTTATATTGTCTGTCCTTAAGACCACAAGAAATAGGTACAGGATTCAGCAATTAGGTCCCTCGACCCATTTCCGCCATTCAGTAGGATCATGGCTGATCTAAAATTCCTTATGTCCACTTTCCTGCCTTTTCCCTGTAACTCTTGATGCTCCTACTGATCAAGAATTTATGTATCTCTTCCTTAAATATACACAAGGAATCTGCTCCCAGAGCTCACTGTGGCAAGGAGTTCCAAAGATGCTCAAGTCTTTGAGAGAAAAAATCCTCAGTTTGTGCTTGCAGGCAGTAGACACAGATGATGTCTTAAATGAATGCTTTTCAGCTCGGGAGAAAGCTGGGGTTTTCAGTTGGGATGGTCATGTTCTAGAACATTAAGAGTAATAAGGAGGTATTAGCTGTTCTGAAGAAGGGTCACTGGACCGAAATGTTAACTCTGATTTCTCTCTACAGATGCTACCAGACCTGCTGAGCTTTTCCAGCAATTTCTGATTAAGTTTGATTTCCAGCATTTGCAGTTATTTGGTTTTTAATTATAGACCAGTTAGCCTGACATCGGTAGTAGGGAAATTATTGGAAATAATTCTGAGAGACAGGATTAATCAACACTTGGAAAGGCAGGGATTGATCAGGGACAGTCAGTACAAATGCTCGGGGGGTATCTTGCCTGTCAAATTTAATTGAGCTTTTTGAAAAGTTGACTAAACATATTGTTGAGGGTAGTGCAGTTGATTTGGCTTATATGAACTTCATTGAGGGCTTTGACAAGGCCCCACATTGGAAGACTGGTCCACAAGAGCCCATGGGATCCAAGGTAAGAGGCAAACTGGATTCTAAACTGACTTGTAAATAGCAGGCAAAGAGTGATGGTGGAGAGATGTTTTTGTGATTGAAAGCCTGTGACCAGCAGTGTACCACAGGGGATCAGTGCTGAGACCCTTGCTGTTTATGTACATTAAAAACTTGGATGTGAATGTAGAAGGTATATTTAGTAAGTTTGCTCATGGCATACAAATTGATGGTGGTGTTGATAGTGAGGAGGATGGTCTTGGGCTACAGTCTGATATTGATCCGGTGGTAAATTGGGCTTAGCAATGGCAGGTGGAATTTAAGTATGAGGATTTGAATTTTGGGATGTCTAATAAGGGAAGGTTGTAAGTTCATAGATCCCTGAAGGTGTCAGCACAGGTAGACAGGGTGGTGAAGAAGATTTACGAAATGCTTGCCTTCATTAGCTGGGGCGTAGAATATAGTGAGCGTTGTAAGAAGTCTTGTGTGATTTCTGACTTTAAAGAAGTTGTAATGACACCAGGTTATAGTCCAACAGGTGACAGATGGAATACTGTGTGCAGTTCTGGTTGCTGCAGTATCAGAAAGCTGAGATGCATTAGAGAGGGTGCAGAGGGGATTGACCAGGATGTTGCTTGGGTTGAATAGTCTGTTATGAGGAGAGACTGGATAGGCAGGGTCACCTTTATTCCTTGCAGCAAAGGAGGCTTAGGGAGATCTGATTGAGGTATACAAAATTGAGAGATGTTGTAAAGAACGCATATGGAATGCTGTCCTTCATTGGGAGAGATATCGAATATGAAAATAGAGATTATAATGATGAAACTATAGAATCCCTACTCAGTGGATTGAGGCTATTTGGCCCAGTGAATCTGCACAACCCTCTGAAGACACCCCACCTAAGCCTGCACACTACAGAGCAATTTAGCATGGCCAATCTACCTTTTGGACTGTGGGAGGAAGCTGGAGCACCTAGAGGAAACCCACGCAAACATGGGGAGAATAAGCAAACACCACACAGACAGTCACCCAAGGCTGGATTTGATCCTGGGTCCCTGGTGCTGAGAGCACTAACCACTATGCCATGTAAGACACTGGTAAGACCACAGCTGGAGTGCTATGTACAGTTATGGTCAGTATATTATAGGGAAGATGTAATTGATCTGGAGAGAGTGCAGAGAAGAGCTGGAGAATTGTAGCTGTGAAGAGAGTTTGGAGAAGTTGGGGTTTTTTCCTTTGGAACAGAGAAGACTGAAGGGTGACATGATTGAGGTATACAAAATTGTGTGGGGTGAAGATAGAGTTGATAGGAGGACCCTGTTTCCCTTTGCAGAGAGTTCAAAAACCAGGCGTCATAGGTTCAAGCTAAGTGGCCGAAGGATTAGAGAGGACATGAGGAAGAACACTTTCACACACAGGGTTGTAGAGATCTAGAATTTGCTACCTGAGTTGGTGCTGGAGGCAGAGACCCTAAAACTCTTTAAAAACCTAACTGGATCTGCACATTGAATGCTGGAAGCTCCAAGGCTATGTGCCATGTGCAGGAAAATGGGATTAGAAAGGGTCCCGACCTGAAACGTCAGCTTTCCCGCTCCCCTGATGCTGCCTGGCCTGCTGTGTTCCTCCAGCTCCATGCTGTGTTATCTCTGACTCCAGCATTGGCCGTTCTTACTATCTCTCATTAGAAAGGATATCTGGGTGTCTTTGAGTTGGCATGTGCCAAATGGGGCCCCCATCTACGTATAATTTCTATGGTTCTACATAGAGTAAACTGTGAGAATCTTTTCACTGTGACTGACATACCTAAGACCCAAGGGCATACATTTAAGGTGAGAAGTAAATGGTTTAGAGGAGACCTAGGAAAAAGTTTTTTTTCACCCAGAGCGTGATAGAAATACAGAATGTGTTGCCAAAGAGGATGGTGGAGGCAGGTGCTCTCGCAACATTTAAGTAGCATCTGAATGAGCCCTTAAAATGCCAAGGCATAGAAGGCTATGGACCGAGTGCAGGTAAATGGAATTAGTGCAGTTTAGTGCTTGTTGGTGGTATGGACATGGTGGGTTAAAGAGCCTGTTCTATGCTGTATGACTCTGACTAAATTGGAACCCCTTTATTCTAAGACTGTGCCCTCTTGTCCTACACCCTCCCTTGAGCGGAACCACCTTCTGAGTTTACCCTATCAAGCCCTTTAAGAATGCGATATGTTTCAATGAGGTCACCTCTCATTCTTCTAAACTGCAGTGAGTAGAGTCCCAACCTGTCCACCTTTGCTGAAAAGATAAACTCTTCATATCAGGGGTCATCCTATTGAACCTTCTCTGAACTGCCTCATATGAAATGATGCTGTAAATAAGGGACTGAATCTGCTCACAGTACTCCAGATGGCTCAGCGATTAGCACTGCTGCCTCACAGCGCCAGGGACCCGGGTTTGAATCCACCCTTGGGCAACTGTCTGTGTGGAGTTTGCACATTCTGCCCTTGTCTGTGTGGGTTTCCTCCAGGTGCTCTGGTTTTCTCCCACAGTCCAAAGATGTGCAGGCTGGACGGATTGGCCATGCTAAATTGCTCATAGTGTTAAGGGATGTGTAACTTAGGAGGCTTGTAGGGGGATGGGTCTGGGTGGGATGCTCCAATGGTCAGTGTGGATTTGTTGGGCCAAAGGGCCTGTTTCCACATTTGTAGGGGTTTTTTGATTCTATGAAATATTCACAGTCTGGATTCACCCAATCAGCAGCTTCTATTGCCTGGTGTGACTTTTCAGTCCAGATGTCACATCTGTAGCTCAACGTCTGGATTGAGTGAATGGAAGGAAGGGAAACCCCTCAAAGGTTTCCCGCTGCTCTGGTCAGCTGCTCCTTGCCGATTGTGCGCTCGCTCTTTGCGTGCTCGCTTTGTCACTCTCACCAGGTGCCATGGTGGGATGTGAACCTGTGTTCCCCGGATCATTAACCTAAGCCTCTTGATTCGTATTCCAGCAACAATGTTCTGCTCTTTTTTCCCAGAGTTGAGATGTCTAATACTAAGGGTATGCACTTAAGGTGAGAGGGGGAAAGTTCAAAGGAGATGAGGAGCAAGTTTTTTTTAACACAGTGGTATGTGTGTGGAATGTACTGCCAGGGGTAGTGGTGGAGGCAGGTATGATAGGGACTTTTAAGTACTTTTAGATAAGCAGATGATTATGGAAGGATATGGACCAAGGACAGACAGAAGGACTTAGTTTAATTTGGTGTCATGTTCCGCACAACATTGTGAGCAGAAGAGCCTGTTCTTATGCTGTATTGTTCTTATGTTCTATGTTAGCTATACACTACGCCACCACCTCTGCCGTCCATGTTCTTCACCATTGAACTTCATCTGACACCTATGCTGGCATTCCAACTTGTATCCTCCGCATTAATCCTCTCAGATTACAATTCTTTGAAGTTTTGTACAATGAGCAAAACATGAAATTGCCCTCTGTGCATCAAGATCCAAATAAATTAATATATATCAGAAAAAGCAAGAGTCCCAATACTGATCCTGGGGAAACTTCACTAGAGCACTTCCTATAGTCTGAAAAGTATTAATTGACCGTTATATTCTATTTTCAATAACTTAGCCAATTTTGTAATTAAATGGAAGAATTTTAATATAGTTCCAAGTTAAATTGGTGTGTGGTTTGAAGGGGAGCTTTCAGACACTGGTTGTACCCATGTATCTGCTGCTCTGCCCTTCTAGACAGGTGTGTGTGGCAATTTTTGGGAGATGCTGTTGCAGAGGCCTTGGTGAGTTATTGCAGTGCATCTTGTAGATAGTGTAACCTCCTGTACTTTGGCACTGCATCCACTGCCTTTAATACCAGTCAAGCTGGCTGTTTTGTTCTGGATGATATCAAGCTGCCTGAGTGTTTCCAGAGTTTCATTTAGGGAAGTAGGGAAGATACAATCACATTCCTAACCTGTTCCTTCAACAAGCTTTAGAGGGATAGGAGGTGAATTGTTCGGTACAGCTTTGTAAGCCATTGACCTGCTGTTGCAGTCACAGGATTTATATGGCTGGTCCAATTCAGTTTGTGTTCAGCGTTGATAGTGAGGTATTCAGCAATAGTAAAATCATTGGAAAAGAAAACCCACTGAATGATGAAATAACCAGGTGACATTTTCTGAAGAAGGGTCCAGACCCGGAACATCAGCTTTCCTGCTCCTCTGATGCTGCTTGGCCTGCTGTGTTCATCCAGCTCCACACCTTGTTATCTCAGATTCTCCAGCATTGGCAGTTCCTACTATCTCTGAATCGATTTTAACCCCACTGAATGATGGTTGGATTCTCTCTTGTTGGAGATGGTCATTGCCTGGCACTTATGTGGCACAAATGTTACTTACCATTTATTAGTCCCGGCCTCGCCAATGTCTGAGTCATGCTGCATACGGGGATGGGCTGCTTCAGTATCCAAGGAATCATGAGTGGTGTTGAGCAATTGAAGAGAACATCCCCCATTTCTGACTTTATATTGGAAGAAGGTCATTAATAAAGTAGCTGGGCGGGTTTGGGCCTAGGACACTACCCTAGGGGCGGTGCAGTGGTTAGCACTGCTGCCTCACAGCACCAGGACCCTGAGTTCGATTCCAGACTTGGGCAACTGTCTGTGTGGAGTTTGCATATTCTCCCCATGTCAGCATGGGTTTCTTCAGGGTGCTCTGGTTTCCTCCCACAGTCCAAAGATGTGCAAGTTAGTGGATTGGCCGTGGGAAATTGCCTGTAGTGTTCAGGGACGTGTAGATTAGGTGGGTTATGCAGGGATGGGTCTGGGTGGGTTGCTCTGAGGTTCAGTGTGGACTTATTGGGCCGAAGGGCCTGTTTCCACACTCTAGGGATTCTGTGATTCTATATCCTGAGGAACACTAATGTCTAGGGGCTGAGATGATTAGCCTTCAGCAACCACGACCATTTTCCTTTGTGCTAGGTATAATTCCAACCGCCATAGGATTCCCACAATCCCCATTGACTCCAGTTTTGCGGGCGGTCTCTCTATTTTGTCTGTGTTTGAACCAAGGCTATAATGAGGTCAGGAGTCAAATGGCCCTAGCAAAACCCACATTAAGCATCAGTAAGTAGCAGCAGATCAAGAAAGTTATCTGATCCATCAGAACCTGCTTTCTGTCCACAGCTGCCAGACTACCAAATTTTTCCCAACAATTCCTGTCTTTTACCTTCAGAGATTTAGTTTTTTTTATTCATTCATGGAATGAGGATGTTGCTGGCCAGGCAGCATTTATTGCCCATCCCTAATTGCCCAGTGGGCAGTTCAGAGTCAACCATATTGCTGTGGGTTTGGAGTCACATGTAGGCCAGACCAGGTAAGGATGGCAGTTTCCATCCCCAAAGGACATTGGTGAACCAGATGGGTTTGTCCGATAATCGGCAATGGGTTCATGGTCATCGTTAGACTCTTGGTTCCAGATCTATATTGAATTTAAATTCCACCGTCTGCCTTGGTGGGATTCGAATCTGGGTCCCCAGAACATTATTTGGGTCTCTCAGTTAATAGTCCAGCAAGAGTACCACTAGGCTATTGCCTTTCTATCTGATGTGCCTTGGCTTTTACAAATCCATGTTTGTTTGTTATCACCCTGGCCTTAGTGAGGCCATTGGAATAATAATCTAGCTTTCTTCAGGACTCCCCGGTGCACATCTCTTATTTACCCATCTGACTTTCTTCTTCCTCCTTCTGTTTTTATCCTCCAATTTGTTGTAACTTACCAGCTGCTGGATCTTCATTTCCATATCCATGTTTAACTGTCGTTCAATTTCTAATTAGACTCAGCAATCCTATTGATTCCTGAACCTATGCTCTTCTTCTAACCAGCTCACTTAACTTTTTGTCCATGCAGCTAATTGAGGATCCTCCACCAGACCCACGTTCATCATCTTCCTTTAGAGTCCAACTTCTGCATCCATAGAGAGCAACACTCAATACATAAAGGCGACATCCCAAATCACCTAGGAAAATCCTTTCATGGGGTGATCAGAGAAGAGTAACCCCTGTAAGCAGAATTGAAGGAAATTGGTGAGAAGCTACTCAATCACTAACTACTTCTCTAGTGAGGCTGTTAGCAACAAACGTACAACAGAAAAACCCTCTGATTAGAGGAGCAGTTGTATATAAGTTCTGACAATGAGGATCTGGGAGAGAAAAGCCTGGGACCAAGAGAGGGCAGATTGAAGGCCAGGGGCTGAAGTCAGCCTCCTTGCTGAGGTAGCTGTCTGCTGCAGGCTCACAGGGAAAGACCCTGATGCTCCAAGGGAGCAGTGGGTTGACGGAAGACCTCAAGAGGGCCTGTTGCTAAGTATTTTTGAGTATTGCAGTGTATTTTTGGGACTTTGTTTTAAAGTAACTGGGTTCATTTGTTCTTATCTTCCAGCTAAAAAGACCTGACTCTTCTATTTGCAGTTCTTAACCAGAGTAAGTAATGATGTTACATCTTATAGGCTTATAAACTGTCATTGTGAAGCATTAATAAAGAGTTTTTGGTTGAATCTAAATAAAGGGGACTACGGGGGTATAAAGCATGAATTGGCAAGGATGGATTGTGGAACCTTACTGAATGGGCTGTTGGTGGATAAGCAGTTGTTTATTTTAAAACATGAATGAATTACAACAATTATTTCAGTCTGGTGCAATAATAAGGTGACTCAATCATTGCTTACAAAAGGAATTGGAGATGATGATAGATCCCAAAGAGGAGGCAATTGCCAGAAACAGCAACAAGCCTATAGATTGGGAGCATTTTAGAATTTAG